TGTCACAGATTGTTTAGTAGTGGAGTGTTCAGTGACCATTGAATTAGCCAGTGATTCATATTTTATGTGTATTAATTTATTCATCAATTTTCGTGACTGACAGTACTGCCCAAATTTTAGTCAAAAAAACGCAAGTGGTGAAACGATAGAGCATCGCAAGGCGATGGACGCAGGGCTCTTTGGCAACGACCACATAGAGGTCAAAATACGCGTTCTATTTTTACGCGTTAAATTTGGCTCTTCCGTTTCGCCCCCTCCGGAATGTTCTACTTTCGCAGCCTAATCGCAGGTTTTTCGAAAACGTCGAAAAAACACAAGAATTAGTAGAAATGTTCCTGTTTTGGGCGGATTATTGATAGAGAATAATGTCTTTATTACAAAAATGCTGAAAAACCGTGAGTTGTTGCCTTAGTTATTTTTTTATTGGCGAAAAACTGCGAACTCGGCAAATTTGGTTGCACAACTTCCCTTCATGATATACACCCAGCGACACCGATGCCAGCTGACTGTGTACAAAAGTGGTAGGAGCTAATACATTTGGGGCAAAAGTATTCAAAAATCAGTTTTTGGATGTTGCAATAGCAGTGGTGGGCCAGGATTTGTTTCCAATCAGTGACGGCACGAACATAACCAGTGGAGCCGAAAAAATCACAGAGGAGTTAAAAGCCGTTGCTAGTGAAAAGTTACCTCAATTTTGGGGTCAAATTTCTCGGTAATGAAAACAGATATCAAAAATTCAAATAGTAACTTAAGTTTGTGCCCACACTCAAGCTGAGTAGAATGAGCTATGTCTGAAGTGTTTTATCCCAAATTTGTAGGAGGAGATACATTTGGCGTGAAGCTATCCAAAAATCAGTTTTTTGGCTGTTGCTATGGCAATGGTGGGCCAAAATTTGTTTTCAAATTTTTCCTAATAACTAAGGTGAAGGTGTGACCTACCTGCCAAGTTTGAACGAAATCGGCCGAGCCAAAAAATTCACAGAAGAAATCATACGTGAAAATACTGGAAATGTACACACACAGACACACACACACACACACACACACACAAAACGACAAGCCGGTAGGCTGGTTGGCGATCCGCTCTGCTCAAAAACAAGCAACATGTTTTTGGCTGTTTCCATGGTGTGACATAAACGTGAAGCTAACGTCAGTTTATAACTAATACGAAGTTCGCAAACATCATTCAGTCTTTAGAAGTCACTTAGTGTATTACTAGAACCACAGTCAATCTCCTAGTAGAGTGACTGTGCTAGAACGTATTCTGCTGTTACATTTATTATTTCCAACCGTTTTGCGATAGCATTTTCTAGAATGAAGCGTTTCCAGTAAATGCTGGAAAGCGAAATAATGAAATGATAAATATTTACCTAAAGTACAGTGTGTTGACCTTCATAATAATATACTTCATAATGCAAAACACTAGTCACGGTGAGTTATTTACATATACGACTCCTAATCGAAAAATATGACCACAGTCCAGAATTTCAGACGGATATTAAGCAATGCAAGAGCATATCAGAAGAATTTACTCTAAAATATAAAAAAGAACTGCAGTCAAAAGTCAAGAATGCCAGCAAATAAAGGACTCTGTTCCACAATCCTTTGTGCGCGTTATTACGGACACGCGCAAAAAACTGTACCACGCTTGTCAAATCTGGGTCAAATATACAGTACGCTACTATCTTGTCACAGATTGTTTAGTAGTGGAGTGTTCAGTGACCATTGAATTAGCCCGCGATTCATATTTTATGTGTATTAATTTATTCATCAATTTTCGTGACTGACAGTACTGCCCAAATTTTAGTCAAAAAAACGCAACTGGTGAAACTATAGAGCATCGCAAGGCGATGGACGCAGGGCTCTTTGGCAACGACCGCATAGAGGTAAAAATACGCGTTCTATTTTTACGCGTTAAATTTGGCTCTTCCGTTTCGCCCCTTCCGGAATGTTCTACTTTCGCAGCCTAATCGCAGGTTTTTCGAAAAACGTCGAAAAAACACAAGAATTAGTAGAAATGTTCCTGTTTTGGGCGGATTATTGATAGAGAATAATGTCTTTATTACAAAAATGCTGCAAAACCGCGAGTTGTTGCCTTAGTTATTTTTTTATTGGCGAAAAACTGCGAACTCGGCAAATTTGGTTGCACAACTTCCCTTCATGATATACACCCAGCGACACCGATGCCAGCTGACTGTGTACAAAAGTGGTAGGAGCTAATACATTTGGGGCGAAAGTATTCAAAAATCAGTTTTTGGATGTTGCAATAGCAGTGGTGGGTCAGGATTTGTTTCCAATTAGTGACGGCACGAACAAAACCAGTGGAGCCGAAAAAATCACAGAGGAGTTAAAAGCCGTTGCTAGTGAAAATTTACCCCAACTTTGGGGTCAAATTTCTCGGTAATGAAAACATATAAAAAATTCAAATAGTAACTTTGTGCCCACACTCAAGCTGAGTAGAATGAGCTATGTCTTTAGTATTTTATCTCAAATTTGTAGGAGGAGTTACATTTGGCGCGAAGCTATCCAAAAATCAGTTTTTTGGCTGTTGCTATGGCCATGGTGGGCCAAAATTTTTTTCAATTTTTCCTAAAACTAAGGTGAAGGTGTGACCTACCTGCCAAGTTTGAACGAAATCGGCCAAGCCAAAAAAATCACAGAAGAAATCATACGTGAAAATACTGGAAATGTACACACACAGACACACACACACACAAAACGACAAAAGTGATTATAAGGGCAATCCTAGCGGAGCGGATCGCCAATAGATAGACAGACGGATAGACGGACGACAGACACAGGACAGAAACCCATCCCAAACTTGCCCGAAAGTGGGTTAGAACCCTCCCCCCAATTAATTCAATCCCAGGGGAGGGAAGATTTGGTTCCACTACCAACCGTGGTGCTATTCTATAAATGAGGTCTTCAGCTTCCAAAATAACACGAACTCACCCGCCATGTTGTAGAAAACACAAGAAAATCACCTCAGACAAATACACGTGGTATCATGCGTGAGCACGACGAGGTTCGGACAGGGACGCTTGATAAGTGACCTCAAAACCACGTGTTCCACAAACAAAAGCTTCCGCAGATAATACCACAGATTCAAATTAAACTTGTTATTTTGTTTTAAGTCTCAGCCTCGGTATGATTTCGTCGTTCTGTGTGTGAAATGGTAATTTAGGTAGACTATTATTATTTCCTGGTAGGTTTATTTTTTGATATTATTATTATTTGACCTTGGCGCATTAATTGTACATTAATTGAACTGTCGTGATGAGGCAACTCAAAGATATGGCGCGAAAAAACTCACGCTGCCCACGTGTGACCAATACCTGGCTGTCAAGATTTAAAAAAACGATAAGACAATGGGCGATTTGTTTAGAGACAATGTACTTTACAATCATTTAAATTCGGAAAACATGAACCGTTTCTTGATTGACGTCGTAGAGCTGTTGCCCTCCCCGAAATCGAAATCGAATAATCCACTGTTCTGTTCAGACATGCGCATATCTCACTTTAAGCCGGTATCCCCACGTTTGACAAATGTCTAGGTGAGAGTATCGTTTTTTTATAATGTGCGAAAACAAGCTTCGAGTGTCAGCAACGGTGACTCTCCGTGGGATTTAAAACACTGATCATCAGTTCAAACACTATTATTTGCATTCGTTTAGTTCACATCAGAGTCTTAGTCATTTTTTTGTTGGTCAGCTGTTGATAAACCCATAATGGCTGCTTGTCACGCTTACGACGACGAACTGGAAGGTCTTCAGACTGCATGCGGTATTTTTGGAGTCGTTGCTACCGGAGACTGGCCGACACAGTTAGACATTGCCCACGTCATATCCTTAGGTCTGGTGGGTCTGCAGCATAGGTGAGTGAAACATAACAAAATCTAAACAGACATCTTCGCTCGCATAGCAGCCGACAGTCACTCGAGAGCTGGAAATCACTTATTGGATACATTTTTTTACCACTATAATGTTTGTGTAAAAAAAAAAAAAAAAAAATACGGATTTTTAGCTCTCAGGTGACTTTGATCTATGAAATTAGTACGGTACAAAGTTTAATCTTTCCAATATGTCATTATTTACTGAATTTTATTTTTCTTCTTAAAATAATAACATAATTAATTAATACCATTAATAGTAATGCCAAGCTCTACAAAACTTGTTATTGTAATTGTTTGGTTCATTGGTTATTGACTCTCAACCCCAAAATAACCAACTTTATTATACATCTGAGACCGAAAACATAAGAATCTGCCACACTAAAACATATCAGCACGTTCAAATTTTCCTTTATATGAGGTCAACTACATTGCCAACATTGAAGCATTGTGGGTTATTGACTCCACATTCAAACACTTCTTTCTGTTGGACAAAAAAGCACTGTCAGCATGTGACTGAAAGAGAATCATGTCACAGAACACAAATGTTCACATGTACATCGCAATATACTCTCTGATTTAATTACATGTATTACTAAAAGAAGGAAAAAGATGTACAATATCAAGGTTATCAGAAGAATACCTCAAAGTATGAACTTACTCGTCCAGTATCCGGGTTGCATCAACCTCCGCTATACGTCTTTGTGCATACTTTGCTCCTGTAGTAATGTCATAATATTATACACCTGTCACTGCATCTCCATAAGTTACAGTATGTGCTGTCATTTTTGGCTTTAGGATAATTATCCGTATAGTCCGTTATTTTGAAATGGTAATTCCAAAATATGTAAAGATTAAACAGAATTTTCAAATTCATAGCGATAAAGTTCAGTTCTTGGCTTCAAGCACCAAGCGATTGAATAAAAAAGATGTGATAATAAGTTTATTAAGGTAACACTATCATGCTAATTATAAATAACATTTTCTTATTTTCAACTCCAATTTTATGAAATTCCAGTAAAAAACAACAATCTATGTTTCAATATTTCAGAGGTCAAGAGAGTGCTGGAATAACAACCAGTTTTGGTTCCAACACCAAACGATTGTATAAACACAAAGGTATGGGTTTAGTAAGTGCAATATTTAGTGAAGAGCACTTAGGCAAGTTGAAAGGAAATTTAGGAATTGGGCATACACGATACTCAACAGCTGGCGATTCCGAGCTGGCAAATTGTCAACCATTTGATGTAGATACGATACATGGTCGCATAGCAGTGGCACATAATGGTGAACTTGTCAATGCTGGACCACTGAGGAAAAAGGTGAGACTATACTGCTATATCTAGTGAATAGTTACTTAATTATGTGGAGTTGCATATACATGTATAACAGAAAGAAAACGGAGATGAGACTTTCACAATAAATTACTGTAAGCATGTTATTTTAGCTAATTTAGTTAATACATGATTTTGCTAATTTAAAATAAAATATATTCTTACAATGAGATGGTACCAATTGAGCTACTGTAAAATACTTTATTTTCGCTTGGAATTAAATTTTGCTATTTTCGCTGAAGAATTGATCCAGTGAAAATAAAATCCAGCGAATATACCTTTTTCCCCATACTTTACATTCAACTTGTCAAAAATCAGGGAAAATAAATTCCATACGAAACACCCAAAAAGTCTTTTCAGCAAAAATTAAGTCCAACTAAAATAAAGTATTCTACAGTATAAGATTTTGTTAATAAATGCATAGTCAAATTTGCAAAAAAAAACTTGTAGCTATTTTTACAGTCGGCTCTGAGCTACCAGAGAGAAGGTACATGTAGACTGGGATTCTAAAAAATAGAAAAAAATAAATTGATGGCTAAGACTACATTGTTTTTATCTAATTATCCTCTTGTTTTAATAGACACTTCACAATTCTGAACAAGATTGCATAATAAAAAAAGATGATTTTTTCAGATTGATGTAATGAAATATGCTACTGTATAATAAACAATGTTGGTGTTCAACTCACCTTTCTGTCCAAACCAAGCCTTTAAAATAATTTGTGGTTTAAAATTATTTTTGATAGTAAAAGTTTATTGTAGTTATGTCTAAATGTAATTGGCCATTAGTGACTGAAAACAAATTAGCACATGGACCTACTGCAAGGTTAACCAAATGCATGGTGTTTGCATATTTACATGATATACTGCAAAAATGTTTTCATAAATCGACAATATTTTCCTAAAAAATCATATGTCCTTGAAAAATTCCATATCTACCGGACATAGACACGTCATAACACTGAATTTCTTCAATTGAAGTCACAAATTCGTATCAAACTCTTTGTTAGGATTTCTTTTATTGTATGACCCTAATCAGTTGTCAGCTGTTGATGTGTCTTTTCATTGAAGTTTCTTGAAATGTGTGTACCTACCAACAAATAATATCATTGATTGGTGAATGAGATTATTTCAACTGTGTATATTTTGTAATTAACACTATAGTACCATACACACTTGAAAAAAGTTTGGTTATATTGGAAATAACAAATAGTTGCATTCACGTAATGCAGTATGACAATAACACAATGAAACTACCTGGTATTACAGTAGGTGTGAAATAGTTTCATACCCCCCCCCCCCCCAGCACCTGGTTGGCAGTGAATGAGGGGCACTGAGGAATATCCAAATCCTCCCTTTAGTGTCAATATTGCAACTACCGATAGTCTTATACATTTTTGCTGGTATTTTGACATTGATTTGACTTCACCAAATTTGAATGACATGTTGTTGTGTGTCATGACTCTTGTAGCTCTCTGGTTTTCATCAGAATTATTTACATAATTATTGAACTATTTCCTGTCACACACAGTTTGAGTACATGCAGTGTCAATCACTGCACACCCATACATGTAGGTCTCTATCAGAATTTCATTATCTGTCTTGTGGTCGTATTAAATACTTCACCTATATTTGTATTACCTTCTGTCTTATTAACTTCTAACAATCAATGATGACAAGCATTGGCTCAATGGAAAGTAAATCATCAATTTGGATTGTTTCCCAAACTTATCTAGAGGATTTGTTCCCCTCAGAACATTGCCAGTACTTTTAAATCTATATGGTTGTTTTTTTGGTGGAAATTGCCTTCTAGAATTGTTCCTAGAATTAAAATTTGTTACCAATGCTGATTCTTATTTATTAGTGATTGCCAATGATGTCACTCCACTAAAATCACCTTCACTCAACACGTCACTGTATTTGGCTTCCAGTAAGATGAAAACTTCAAATAGGCTTCATAAGACAAATCCACCATACCGTATTTTTCTTGAAGAGCTTGTTTAAGGCATTGATCAAATCACTCATGCCATCTTCAATATTTAAACTACTCACCTCTATCTCCAGTGACTTTGCTCTGGCGTGTCCTGACAGTGGAAGAGTTTCCACCTGTGCTTACTTCTTTTTGTCTAGTTTGGATGTCAACTGCCATAATGATTTTTTTTTTCCCATGTCTCATATACTGTATCCTTTCCCATCTCCGGAAGATTTTTGTAATTTGCATCATAGCCATGCTCTGCTACCATTTGTTAAACTGACTAAAGCTCAAATCACTGACTGTCTCAAGTACTAATCATCACATTTCAATGAAACTTGGTACATAGATGTCAATAAATAATGTCAGGACACTGCACAGACCTGATAAATTTTAGGGTAATATCAGTACATATTAATTACCTAATTTGCATATTTAATTAATGTTCAGCTTTTGATATTTCAAGAACATTACATTTCAATGAAACTTGGTACATAGATACTCAAGGACTATGCAGAGATTGATTGTTATGGGATAAATATTTGTGCATATTAATCTACTAATTTGCATAATTAGTTAATTTTCAGCTTTTCTACGAATATCTCAAGTACTAATTATTCCATTTCAATGAAACTTAGTACAATGATGCTCTAGGACAATGTTTGGGGTTAAAATCTGTTCATATTAATTCCCTAATTAGCATAATAATTTGGTACATAGATTGTCTGTTACATTGCGCAGACCTCATTAGTTTTACACTATAAAATCTGTTCATATTGATTTTCTGATTTGCATTATTAGTTTTCAGCTTTTCCATCAATATCTCAAGTACAAGTATTTTCAAATTATTTTTAATATTATTTTTAATACTCTCAGCACATGGGAGTTCTTTCTAAGCTTTCTTTGATTATAGTTTTGATAGCCAGGGTACAGCCAGCCACCTGTTGAACTGTCATTTTTTAGAGTTGTCAATCTGTTGACCTGTCATTTTATAACCCTGCTGATAGCTAAAACTCGGTGAATATTTCATTTTTTGTTTATAACCCTGCTGATAGCTAAAACTCGGTGAATATTTCATTTTTTGTTTATAACCCTGCTGATAGCTAAAACTCGGTGAATATTTCATTTTTTGTTTATAACCCTGCTGATAGCTAAAACTCAGTGAATATTTCATTTTTTGTTTATAACCTTGCTGATAGCTAAAACTCAGTGAATATTTCATTTTTTGTTTATAACCCAGCTGATAGCTAAAACTCAGTGAATATTTCATTTTTTGTTTATAACCCTGCTGATAGCTAAAACTCAGTGAATATTTCATTTTTTGTTTATAACCCTGCTGATAGCTAAAACTCAGTGAATATTTCATTTTTTGTTTATAACCCTGCTGATAGCTAAAACTCAGTGAATATTTCATTTTTTGTTTATAACCCTGCTGATAGCTAAAACTCTGTGAATATGCAAAGTTATAAAATGTGTGGCTTCGTTCACAAAACCCAGTGAATATTAATCCACTAAATTATACCAAGTGAATTCTTTCTATAGTTGTAGCAGAAGCATCAAATTGACAGACTATAATTGTTTAAACATTGAAAACAAGACAGCTGTTATCACCTTTTACAAACTAAAACGTCACCTCATGTTTGCTGTTAGTAATACATGTACAAGTGTGAAATGGAGGTTTTTCATGGTGAAAATAAGTAAACTTTCATCAGACATTTTAATATAATCTATTAAGGTAGAGATGCAGTTTATTTGTGAATTTCAATCAAAAATAGTTTTTTTCGTTTTTTATATAGATTTTTATCTATAGAACATTCTGTGAAAATTTGACCAATGAATTCTGATTGGAACACCGTTAAAATTGCTGTTTATTTTCTGGTTAAAAATAAAAAACACTCGCACGTGGCAATGTTTATGTCCAATTGCCTAATTTGCACGAGTAACCAAATAACCAGACCTTTGATTGACAATATGCAAATCGAGATTGTACGGGTCATAGTTCATTCAATTCACGCGCATGTGCAATTATTCTCAAATCAGTTCTCGTTCGCTAGCAAAACAAACATTATATTTCCTCAGCGTTTTTTCCTAATTTTTATCATTACATTATGCGTGGTGTGAAAAGAGAGGTAGAAAGAAGATTCAGATGATTTATATGTCGGAAGAGGCAAAAGCTACACTGAAGGCATCAGCCCAACGAACGAAAAACAAAATCGATGTGAGCATCCAAAAATGACTTTCCCTGAAGGCATGAATCCGAGTTTCTGATTGACTGAGAGATTTTATTTTTAAATAATTGTTCTCAAAAAATAAACTGAGCATGTGAAGAATAATTTAACATTGTTTACAGTGATAACAGCTCATTGTCGAAACGAAGCTTACCCATTCACGCTAGTCACAATAAACATCATGCTCTTGAATAGGCATCAATGACTACGGTAAAACTTAAAGTAAACTGTATTTTAGGCATCAGGAATGATTGAAATGTCCGAAAATGACGCCAAAATACACCTTAAAATTCCCATTTTAAGGCAGAATCTGGTCCCTCAAATATGGGACATGTGAGCTTTGATTCTAACCGGATATATTGCACTGGGCCGGGGAGATACAAACTTTTGTGTATCTTTTGTCCAATGGGTACCTGTACTTCGATCATTCGCAAGTTTTGCTAGGTGGTGCGAGACAGCTTTGTTTGCAACCGGACGAACTCCGTTTAATTCAATGAAGCAAACAACTGACAATGCTAAAATAAATTGCAGAGGTACGCTAAAATTAATTGAAAACAACCAAATAATTTCAATGAAAAATAAATCACAGAGAGAGGTAACTTGATACATTACGGTAACAACTCTTTTGATGCGCTGACCGCTTCTGATGTTTTGTTTTCCTTGTCATAATACTTACTGATTGATGATTTTGTTTTGATTTTTGAGTTTTTTAGCCTGCAACTCGCCCACTACGTTTTGCTTTTTCCGTGAAAAATGGGGAC